CCGGCCCCCCCCCTGTCAGTGGATTACTAGCTTTCTGACAGACAGGAAGCAGCAGGTGAGGCTGGGGAAAACCACATCCAGCGCCCAGACAATAAGCACAGGCACCACCCAGGGATGTGTGCTCTTCCCTCTGCTGTTTTCACTCTACACCAACGACTGCATCACGAAAGATCCCTCTGTCAAGCTCCTAAAGTTTGCAGATGATACAACGGTCATTGGTCTCATCCGAGACGATGACAAGTCACCCTACAGACGGGAGGTTGAGCAGCTGGTCCTGTGGTGTAACTGCAACAACCTGGAGCTGAACACGCTCAAAACAGTGGAGATGACAGTGGACTTCAGGACGAACCACCCCACCTTACCCCCCTCACCATACTTGGCAGCACTGTACCAGCAGTAAAGTCCTACAAATTCCTGGGATCCACTATCTTACCAGACCTGAAGTGGGCATCCACCATCAGCACCATCACCAAGAAGGCACAGCAGAGGATGTACTTCCAGCACCAGCTCAGGAAGTTCGACCTGCCCCAGGAGCTGCTGATACAGTTCTACAGAGGAATCATTGAGCCTGTTCTCCACACCTCCATCGCTGTCTGATTTGGCTCAGCAACCAAACAGGAGAAGTACAGATTTCAGCAGACAGTCAGGACTGCAGAAAAGGTCATTGGTGTGAGCCTGCCCTCCATGGAGGACCTGTACACCTCATGAGTCAAAAGGAGGGTGGAGAGGATCACTGCAGACCCCTCACACCTGGGACACAATCACAATCTTTAAACAAGTAATACATTACTTTAACCATCACAAAGTCATATTTTATTTTTACTTACTGTTCAGAGGCAGCGTGGAATCACAGACATGATATGCAACTAAGACATGAAGGAAGAAAATGAAGAGTTTAGCTTTTCACTTTTCAGTAATGAACAGATTAATAATCAATATACACTGATCAGGTATAATATTATGACCACCTGTGTTATGGTCAGCACTCGCAGAAGCGAATCAGCGAACAGGCTGGACCCAGATGGCAGGTGTGATACTGATCACAAATTTTACTGCACTGAGAAAACAAGTTATAGAGATAACAGTCAATATGCTGGAAATGTCCGCCAGAGGAGGCAGAGTTCGAGGGGTCCACAGATGGGGAGCTAGAGGTGGCAATGCAGGGCAGATGGAGGAACCGAAGATAAGCTGAGACAGGTGATTATAGCCAGCGAACTCAGGTGGGGTAGAGTGGAGATGGCTGGGCTCGAGGAAGATGAAAGATGACTGGCAGCAGGTCACTTTGGCAGAGGCTGAACAGAGAGAGTCAGAGGTGCAGATCGCTAGAGTAATGACGAGAAACCAGTACAGGCAGAAGCCAGGACCTGTAACAGAGAATCAGAAGAGAAGAAAGAGAGAGAGAAGGGAGAGAGGCAGGTGGCATAGAGCAAACCTGACAACCTGTACATCTGTATTCACTTCAATGCAACACTTCTGCCTTAACATTTGTGTTTATGAAACTCAAAATGTTTCAGTTTTTGGTGAGAATCTCCTAAATGTATAAATTCTATTATATGTTCATTACTGAGGTCATAGTTAAAGGTGGTGTTGTACTGGACTACATTGTATTCAGAGGTGTCTGTATATTTTTGTCCTGCCCATTCACATACATGAGAAGGTCAGAATATTACGATCACCTCTGAATATAATTAAGTTCAGTACAACAACACCTTTAACATTTTGAGCTTCATAAACACAGATGTTAAGGCAGAAGTGTTGCACTGAAGTGCATACAATTGTACAGCTGTACCTAATAAAGTGGCCAGTGAGTGTACATATTCATGTTATGCAGTCTTATTTTATATTCAGCATGAGTACTTCTCTACTTACAAAGTAAAGCACAGGGCAGGATCAACATTCTGTGTCTGAGAGGAAA